CAATCCCGCTTTCGATTAAAACCTACACCCCGCTATAATTACTTTAGTAAGCTGTCTAGACCAATCAAAATGTTTTGCGCAATTGTGCAAACGTTAAAACAATTATATATTGTGACGTCATCAAAAGGCGCAGGCCCCCGAGTCAATCTGGCAGCCCGAGTCAATCTGGTACCTACACCGGACCCCAGTCCGCCAACCTGTGACATAAAATCCTATTTATCAGAAGAGTTCTTAGTGAGACAATGAATGAAAAAGTTTAATGCCTTTGTGAAGCATGTGGGCATATTAAAATACTATGGAAATATTTATTTTCTTTATTTTCATGTACTTATCCAATCTAGGTGCTCCAGGTCTTCCTGGTGTCGGCAGAGATGGCAAAAATGGAGAGCGCGGTGAAACAGGAAGTCCAGGCATTCCAGGACCTGCTGGTCAAAGAGGACCCTCTGGACCACCTGGTCTCTGTGACCCATCTACTTGTATAAACAGACTTCCACACCTCTATATGGTCAGTGGAAAGAAATCCTCCTCGTACAAAAACCCATGAGACATCCAAAGGTCAATGACAATCGCCAGACCTCATCCACCCAGCGTGACCATGTTTCAGGGCTCTTCATTAACCCGAACATGGTGCTTTTTTTTGGAGGAGTCTCCATCGACACCACAAATCAAAGACACTCAGTGAGAAACACAGATGGGAAACAACTGCACAAAACTGTAAAGACATTTTAACTTTAAAGTTTTTAGAGGGAATTTCCCCATTGGGGAGAAAACACTTGTTGCTGCGCAGCCTCTGGTCCTTTAGCCCCATAACCTGATAAGAAATAATATCCCTTCCACTTGGCCATTGTGGTCAGCTTATATAAAAATCTATGATTTCCACTAATTAATTTACTTTGCCCCATTCAAATGTTTACGGATGTTCTTCAACTATGTGGCTCCAGTGATTTTTTTTTTTGTTTTTTGTTTTTTTTGGCCAGTTGTCTGTTTTATGAAACATTGCAATAAAGTGGTTAGTTTTGAGAAATTTATTCAGTAACAAATTCAAACACCCTACCCTTATGTTTGTGGGATCATGCATTTATAGAGGGAGCCGACTATGACCTATTCAGGATGGTTTAAACATGATCTGTGACAATCCACTGCCTCTACATTAAAGTGGTTTTCTGTAAAACAATCAAACAAAAAACAAGGGTTGTTCTCTGGATATAGTGTTAAATAGTTGCCTGGTTACAAAGGAGAGCTGATATCATTCTCTCTCCCCTCTGTTTGCCAATGACCAATACATTTACTGTTCAAATATGACCTTTAAGCAATGTGCTGGAAAGGAGCGAGCTTGGCAGCCAACCCAAGGACATCCTTTTAATTTGATAGATCACATCATGACTCAGCTACAATATATTTAAAATGTCTGCTATGAATGGAAAGAGTGATGGGCATTTATACAATCAGGTTTAGCAAAAACTTGATTTGCATAACCAAGGTAAATGTAGACATGATAATTCATTAGAGAAAAAAACAGATATACACACTGGAAAAATCCAAATCCAGATAATTTAATTTTTCTTAAATTTAATGCATTTTTTCTTGAATTGAGCCGGTAAGTGAGACACTTTGCCAAAGGAACGAGTCAATTTACATTTAAAATAAAAAACAAAAAAACAATTACATAGTCTTATTTCAAGTCTATATTATCTAATTATCGTATTTTAAAAGTAAAAATTCTCATTCCATTGACAGATCTTATTTACCTACTCAAATTAAGGGTAAATACACTTAATTTAAGACATTTCTACATATTTCTAGATTGTTTTTGCAGTGTACTAACAACAGATAAAACAAAACTTATCTTTTGATAATATACAGTAAAATAAAGAGAACAACTTAAAAAAAAGACACAAAGCTTGTGTTAGAAAATGAATTTGTTCCAATCTTTATTATACACTACAGTACAGTACAATACAGCCGCACCCCGATACTTACACTGAGCTACTATTTCAAAATATGTTAGCACCAATTATTAAGGCAAAACTGACAAAGAAATAGGAAAATGTAATGGAATAAAACACAAATACATATAAAATATTTTCAAATTGTGAATAATTTACTAGTATAACTTATGTTTTGCTTTGAGAATTGCAGATCTTTATCCCATCTTGATACCATAATGAGCATCTAGAGAACCACAAAGTTTTAACACTGATTGTTCAGCAGTATATAGAGAAGCAGCTGCTTAGAACTAACAGAAATAAGATGTTAATCAGCACTAAATGCGTATTGGAGTAATCTTGCATTTAAATCCTCTTTATAGCAGACTATAACAGAACTTTAAAGCAGCTATTATTGTAATCTGCTTTCCATGAACTCCTTTATAGGTAGAAAAATCTGATTTATTAAAGAAAAGATAAAAAAAAATCCATCCTTTTCTTTGTTTAATGTAAAATGAAGTTAACATTTAAAATGTAAAAGGCAATCATGGAGTTTGGTTCCCTAGATTGTTTGACCAAGCTAGACCAGCTAAAGCACACTGGTTTATGCCAACAATGTAAGCAAGCTGAACTCCTAACATGCTGCAGAAACCGATCCAGTCTGATTTGGGTTAAAAAAACAAAACTCAATGTGAATAAATGATTGGAGCTCCAAATAAAGAAAGTAAAAACAATCCACTGGAGTTTGTTTCAAAGTTTGAAGACATTTCGCTTCCTATCCAAGAAGCTTTTTCAATTCAAAATGTCAGGAATAACGTTGAGTTTGAGGTTTTATTCAGTAGCCAAACAAAGCCTTGTTTTTGTTTTTAAAACATGTAAACTGAAACAGATAGAGGGGTCCAACCCTTTTGAATTTGGCTTTTTTTGTTAGCCTGTATTACCCAAAACCTGTCTATGTCTCTGAAATGGGGGTCGTTAAAGGGAATGGTTGGCCTGGCTGAATAGGCGAGGTCTTCTGCTCTCCTCTACAGCTGGGGTTGCGATGAGAGCTGTTTTGATAGACTACTGTATAAAACCTCGAACTCAACGCTATTCCTGACATTCTAAATTGAAAAAGCTTCCTGGATTGGAAGCAAAACGTCTTCAAACTTAGAAACAAAGTCCAGTGCATTGTTTTTAACTTTCTTTTTTTGGAAGGACTATGACCTGGATGACGGAGAATCTTCACTAACAAATGATTGGAGCCACTAGCGTTGCACCCATTTTTGTTGGACTTTATTTTGCAGTTGGGGTTCTGGCTTCTGATTCGCCTACATTGAAAAATAAACCATATTCAGTAAAATACTAAGCCACCTTTCAAGCTCTTAAAATAGCTTCTTTGAGCTATTAATTAAATGTAAAAAGACAATTTTACAGATTTTAAAGAGAACCCAGGAAATTACACAATAAGGAACACTTTAAAAAAGGATTGAGATTTAGGTCTGATAACAATTGATTAAAATCTTTATTGTCATTGTGGAACATTACATTGCTTTAATCTAAAGAAGGCTAATCTCTACAGCAGAGGTGTCAAAAGTATTAATGTTTATTAGTCAAGTAGAAGTATAAATCCTACTGTTTAGAAACTGAAGCTAAAGTATCAACTTTTTAGTCAAGTAAAAGTTTAAAGGTACATTTTTAAAAACTATTTAAAGTATAAAACTAAAAATAATGCAGATACTTTACTGCACTAGTCTATTTAAAGGAAAATTTTTCTACAATTCAGGATGATAACTTCCTTATACTTAATATTTTAGTTAGTTTTATAACAAAAGGTAACAGTGTCAAATGCATCTTTGCATCTTCCTTTAAAACGATTGATTTGAGTTTGTGTTGAACAACAAGTTGGGGCAGCACCGGGTCCAACCACAAAGAAATAACATGTCAGGATTAAAGAAATTATTTTATTAAACGAGTCCATTTTTAAAATGTAAGTAGTAGAAGTAAAACGTTATCTATCCAGTAAACTATAGATAGCCAAAATTTCTATTTAAGTAAAGTAAAAAAGTATTTGTACTTTCTTACTTGACACCTCTAGTCTACAGATCAAATGTAGCTCATTCCTTCATGTGTATGAATAGTTTCCTTCAGTTCACTAAAGCTAATAATTTCAAGCTTAGTTGAAAAACCAGAGCAGATCCAGTCTTCTTTAAGCAGAAGCTGGATAAAAGTATCAGGAGTTTTTCTCATCTTGCTAATTGCTCATTTGGTGTAAAGGTGTTTAGCTAAGATGCTAGAGGGATCTAATTTTTCTTCAGTTGTTTATATAATACTGTAGAGCACTGCTGTTCAGCTGGCTTTGAATTCCCAATAAGCAACACAAGCAGTCTGGCTAAGAATATATTCTTCAGTCTACCTTCTACCACCAACATCTGAGGCTTGGTTTGATGTCTGAGTTGCCATGCCACCCAGTTAGCATTTCTAATGTCGTTATTAGAAATGCTACCTGTGGCTACTTTCCAGTGGCTAAAATTTGATACAAAACCCAATAATAATGGGGTAAATTAAACATTTTCTCAGGTTTTATTCAATAATTCTGTTCATGAATCATTATTTAGTTGAGTGGGAAACAGAAATGTACAATAGTGTTTTTGCTGCCATCGACAAGAAAGGATGTAACGCCAGTCTGAATGCAACACGGCCATGTTTTGTCTTACCCGGTGTTTCACAGTCGCAACTTTACATTCTTAAGTCTCTGATCTTGTAGTTTTAAATCTCTAACAGAAGATTCATATTTTCAAAGTTTTGATGCATAATGAGTCTTTTTGCAAAGATTAGTTAGCAATTTTTAAATGGTTCTCCATTCAATAAAGGACATATTGTGAAAAAGGAAATACTTGAGCAAAGCTGGAAGGAAATGATGAGTTTTACCAAGACTTTAAAAAGAGATGGAGGTCCGCCATTTTTAATTACCAAAGCAACAAGCTTACACAACCATTACGTTTCACCAAACACATAGACGGCAAGCAATACAGTAAAGACAAAGACAGTAAAGCAAGTCAATTATTATTATAATTTTTTTAAGAAAGCCCCTCCATAAATTTTCTTGCAATACAGGTCAACGGATACTTTGGGGACATTATAAGCAAAAATAAACAAAACATTTCCTTCCTGCGTCTGTTTTTGTCTTTTGAACGTTTTTTTCTTGTAAAGGCTGTGCAAAACGGCTGCTTGGGAGTTTTTTTTTTAGACTATATGCAACGAGGTGACTGAAAAACTCTGGCATGGAGATAAGAAGCTGTTTGGAACCTCCTCCCACACGCAATAGCTTCTGTTGTTTGCTTCAAATGTCTGCTTCCACCCTCAGCGACAGAAAAAGAAAGAACATCCATGTCTGAGTAACCACCATCTGATGGGTGGAAGACCCATGGCAAGAGATTTATTTAGCAAACGGTGAGTGACGTGGTGTAGTGTGGGATGTGATGGATAACTGAAGGGAAGCAGGAAGATAAACCTTGAAATAAGCGGAAACATTACATTTATGATCCTATATTCATTACAGACAGTATGCAAGTAAAAAAACAACTTTAGCTGCCCTCTATGCCCCTGATCGGAAGTGCTCCACGTTGCTCCGTCCCCTATGACAACCCAAACCCAAGCTTGATAGCAGTAAATGAAAAACCTGACCGGCAGCACCTGTTGCGTCAGAACCCCTGTAGCAAGGTTGATTTAAAAGAAAAAAAAAATGTTCTTGATTTTATATGACTCAACAAAGTTCATAAATACAGCCAAACTTCCAGCTCTGTGAGTCTCCTGTTTCCTATTACCCCTTTATGTTTTTAGTGTGGGGTCTTTGAGCCAGACTGGCATAGTAGGCACATTGGCTGGGGTCGCACTGCCCAGGAGGACCTGGAGGTCCAGGTTGACCATGCGGCCCGGGGTTTCCTGGCTCTCCCTGGGCTCCAGCCTGTCCCGGGCTTCCGTCTTTGCCATATCCGGGCATACCAGCTGGACCTGAGGCGGGGAAAAAAAGGAATCATGCACTAAACTATAGCAGAATTCTTGATAATTACGGTGAACAGGAATTTAGAACTTACCCATTGGACCAACTGGTCCCTGCTCTCCTCTCTCACCGACACCAGGTTCTCCTTTCTCTCCCCTTGCTCCTTTATCACCTTAAAGAGGAAAATAACACACCCGTTGGTACGTTTCTGAACAAACTAGTAGGATGTCATCAAATGATTGCTGTTTTATAGACAATGTGTAAATTCTCAGTAATCAGGGTCTTAGTAATCCAGAGAAACAGGCTCAAGTTGGAGACAATAGGACTTTCAC